GTGTTCCCGCTGTTCTTTTTTGCTTTCCTGAATCAGAGTAACTAATGTCTTGGTAGTTTTAATAAGGCGGTTGATTCATTCGGTCGCACGGGGGTTTCAATCGGTGGTGGGGGTGCTATCATCCCGGACACGGGCATGCTCGTAATCACACTCGGGACCGGTCCTTTGGGACTAATCTGTTCCAGTTATGTGACAGGGCCCAACATAAACCCCATGTTTTCAAATTTATTCTGCAGTGCAGCCAACTCGGCTTTAGCTCTCGCTATTTCGGACGAGTCTCCTTCCCTAGGATAGTCCTCCCCTTCTAGGAAACTCGCAGCGAACTTTCGTTCCATTTCCTCTGCAGCTGCCATGATCTGTTGCAGCGTGTGATTGATGGGGGATAACTTTTTTCGCAGTTTCACCCTCATCGTTCGGCTGCAAAGTCCATCGATGAAAAAATATCTACCTACCTGCTCGCCTCGTTCTGTTTTCACAAACATCCTATAGAATCAGTTTCGATACTCGGTGACAGACTCGAGGTGTTTTTGAACTCGATCTTTGATCATAAAAAGAGTCTGTTCCGGGTGGATGTAATCGAATCGGTTCAAGAAATCTCGCTCGAATGTTGGGAGATCGACCCATGCATAGGTACTAAACCAGTGATGGGCATCTCCTCCCAAACGTGCACGGATATTCACCTGTGCCTCATTGTCATCATACTGTTGAGCCCGGAGCGTGGATAGCTATGCTCCAGCGAGGTGATGAGCAGGGTCGAATAGATAAAGATCAGGTGGCGTCATGGGAGCCCGTGCTAGTGGTACAGGTTGATTAGGATTTTGCTGGGGATTCTGTTGATTAACATTCATGTTGACCGTCCATCGGGCCGCAGCCCGACTTCAAGTGACGACGGGGTCGCGTCGATGCACGTTTCGCGGTCGAGGTCATCCCCTGTTAGCCAGATCGCCCAGCTATGAATCATAGAACCTTGTCACGTGTCGGGCTTGGATACCAACCTCACGCCCAACGCGACGTCCTGATCGGAGTTAGATGTGGGCCTGGAAGTGCGAAAAGGGGTGTGTCAAGGATTTTTGGGAAAGTGGGGGTGGAGTCCCAAGTCGGAACTGAGATCTCCTGTAGTAAAGTTTCGGGGGTATAGACGCAATAGAGCTAAGGGGCGAGTTACTTCCGGTCTTATGGCGGTCGAGGTCGTGCAGCATAAGGAAGATCGCCTGCGCGATGCATTCAAGGTTGTCCGATCCGTCTGTTTTGTTGGCGGCGGTTCGGGCAGAGACCCGCCCAAGATGGTTGTGGTTTCGATGAGTCCGACCTTCGGGTGTAGACACATGGCGTCTGTCGTCGCGCGTTTTGGTTAGGCCCCATAATTTTAGGGGCTCGTCGGTTGTCGCATCACCGATAATTTTCGCAAGGCGTGCGGGGCCAGTACAATGCAATGGAATTCCACGGAACCACAATAAGTTAGTGATACGGGAGGAGGAGACGGAAGGGACGAAAATTGGTAGTAATAACGACGAAGCCGGGGGATATGAAGTATTGCATGTTGTCCGTAGTGGGAAAATCGGGGCACCTAGGATCGCTGGTAGTGGCACAGTGAAACTCCCTAATACATTCTCTCACCCAAGGATCGAAGTACTCCCAGTCCCAGGAGCTCGGCATCTTATCATTGCGGTGTGATGGAATTCCTCCGCACACATCTAACTGGCAGAGGGATTTTCCCGATGGGATATCTGAAATTCCTATCCGTTTAGGTTCGTGGTAGAAGGAAAATTCTCGCCTACGTGATATCGAAGGTGTCAAGTTCGGCAATGTTCACGAATCGGCGCACGTGGATATGTGTAGGCTGTGCAGATCAGATCGCGCTTACATGCATCCCCGCGAGGTATTCCCTTGTTTCTGGACAATCAACTACCCAATCATCTAATCACTCCGTGATCCCGCACGCAATCGTTCCTGAGCAAGCAAGGTGCTATTACACATCAGGCATCGCAGCACCAACAGTGGCTCAAAAAGGATAAACAGCAATGGAAGCAGTAATGACAACTACGATGAAGTTTCTACTATGCTCACGAGTGTATCAAAATAACAAGCAAAGGCAAGGACTAGACAAAAGAAAAGCAACGGACACATTCTTACGACAAAACACACAACAAAAGTGACAAAGATCAATCGCAAAACGAGTGTGGGCTGAAACCGAGACAAGGATTCCGAAAGCAAAAGAAAACATGCGAGTCGCCCTGAGCTGATATCAAAATTTATATACAAAAGCAAAAAGGGAGAAAAGACAAAGAAAATTGCAAACCCACACCTATGAACCTGAACTCCCTCTTCCTCTCTCTCTCTCTCTCTCTCTCTCTCTCTCTCTCTCTCTCTCTCTCTCTCTCTCTCTCTCTCTCTCTCTCCGATGCGGACAGTCCGTCGTCCCGCACCAACCCACAAAGTCGTCACCCCGCTTCGTCCTCCTACACCTGTTATGTTCGCGCGCTCTCTACAGTCCGTCGTAGCCCCACGTAATAGCCCCGTGCATTTGCACCAGCTCGTCGGGTCGCCCGACTCCACTTCAACTCACCTCTTACTTCGCTCGTGAGCCGACCCTCACTGATCGCGCTATCCTGAGCTTCCAACAGCCGGTTAAAAGAGCTATCTAATCGCGCTGCCAGAATTTATACAGTGCATGCATGCGTGAAGAACACGAAATTGCAAGGAAATTGCAGGGACTTAGAAAGGGGATTAGGAGAGGGACCGCCTACGTTCTGCATGGCCAGACCACGATGTGGGGGACGTAGCCACTCTCCACGCATCGATCCGAGCATGCAGGTCGCGGGGCCAACCAGGCACAACAAAAAGGAAAGAGATGGCGGGAAAGACGAAGCTTAAGAAGAAAGATACAGTTACAATGGCGCCCGCACAAAAATTACAGTTACTTGCAGAATTAAGGGCGCCGACTAATCAGAGCTCCGTTGTAGCCGCAAAAAGAAATGCGCAAGAAAGACAGCGCACGACAAAAAAAATCTTGAATTCCTAGATTCCTAAATTCCTAAATTCCTAAATTCCTAAATTCCTAAATTCCTAGCTGATGTAAAAAGAAACACAAATTCCAAAAAGAAAATCCGACGTTCCGAGAGTCGTCAAGGGCTCGACAAGATTCGAAAAGAAATTAAAAAAGAACGAAGCAAAATTCTCGCACAACCTCAGCGCCTAAAACCCGACAACAGAACAAGAAAGAAGCGATGTCAAACATTATTATTCGCGCCTTTGTCGGTGCGACAGCCACTGAATAGGGCCTCTCGGGACATGCTCGACCTTGAACCCACCCATCAGAAAAGAAGCGACGAAAGAGAAAAGACGAAAAAGCGAGGACACGGATGCAATTTTCCTTCGTTCCCGATCTCGCGTAATTGGCCCAACCTTCCCATCTTAGGACCCCTGATTATCATCAAACAGAGAATCGCGCGGAACAGAAATTGGTTCGTCACATATGTGACGCCAAGGGGGTTCCAATCTTAAGCAAGCTCCTGCTTGCTGGAATCGTGACACGGGTCAATTTCTCTAATCGATCGACACGCAGAGCTTCTACGTGGCCACCAACCGTGCAAAAGAGTATGGAAGTCGTTCAGGGTGGTACACGTGGCTCTATCGTATAATTCTTTTCAGTAGGGGCTCTCTTCAGTCTGAGGAGGGGATCGTGCGTGCCGTTGCCGCGGCACGTGCCAATCAACCATACACCAACGTCTTACGGGAAGGGGAAAGGGAAGGCGATACATGGGGGCATGGTGAGGGGGTGGCTAGTTGGGAGTGGGGGCGAGAATCGTTCCAACCTACAGGTTTCCCGGGAAGGGCAATCTAATTACCGATGGGGGAGGCGGTGGAGGATGCTGGGGAAGAAGAGGCATGAAGCGGTTGATGGCCGGAGATTTGAAAACGGGAAGGGAGGTGTAATGGATGGAGCGATGGATGCAGGGGAAACGAGGTTTTTCCCGATGGTGGGGGAGAAAGGCAATATAGTCGAGGTAGATAGTAGAGAGAGAGTGCGGCGAAGAGCGGTGCAAAAATTCTCTAGTCTTCGCACGCGGAGATCATTCTTGATATAATACCATATATTTCTATATGGTTATATTCCCGCCAATATGCGCTAAACAGGAGAACATGGAGAAGAAAAGAATCTACTACAGAGCGGGTGGTAACATGCGGAAAGACGGTGACTAGGAGACGGGTGGCGTAAAGGTGGTGGAAGAGGTCTGGAGGGAAGGGACACCATCCAACGGGGAACGGGGGTCTACCAGGGACTCGGGTGAGCATCAAGAAGTCAAGGGGACGACGAGAGAACGAACGGGGACGAAGCCCGATCGCCCTCATGATGACGTAGGCGAAGGGCAGGTCAAGTAGAGGAACCAGACAAAGTCAGCGATTCGCTCCTTCGGCAACGTCTTCCCGATTCCTCCGCTGCGGTTCCATCGTTTTCTTCGTCTTCCTTCGGGGGCTTCGGATCGAGCCACAGGTTTCCCAACAATAGATCCGGCGGGGACCTTTCCTTAACCGGCCGTTTTCCCTCCGCCTTTTCCAACCGTTTTCGTGGTCCGGCCTCTTCTTCTTCCTTGCTTTATTCGGGCTGCTGACTCGGCCCACCGGCTACCTCTTCTTCTTCTGCTGGCTCCTCTTCTTCCTTGTCCTCTTTTTCTTCCTGAATGTAATCAGGATCGTCACTATCTCTGCTCGATTCTTCTTCTTCTTCTTTTTCTTCTTCTTCTTCTTCTTCTTCTTCTTCTTCTTCTTCTTCTTCTTCTTCTTCTTCGCCTTCCTCCTCACCTTCGTGTTCCTCTTGATGAGCATTTGCTTTCCTGATGATGGGGTCCCACACTGTGAGATCGGTGACGTCGATCTCTAGAAAAAGAGCCAGGGACAGATAGACACAGTTGTCGCCGTCCAACTCAGTACACGTGGACCACAACAGGCGTGGCTCGAGTGTTCGGGAAAGCACGTGGGTGCCCTACTGATTGTCACACCACGATAAGATATCGACGGGCAGGTCGTCCACCAGCTGCGTCAGAAACTCCAGCAGTTCACTCGTAATTAGAGCGTTATTTGCGACATCCACCTTTCCGAACAGTATCCCCAATAGATCCCCCTCTGTTGCTATTCTCCAGGCTTGTACAATCAGCAGCTCCACTTCGTCGTCTGGAAGTTCTGGACCCTCTCCATACGGCGCCGGCTCAGACCAGCAGAACTCTACTTCCAGCAAGCAGAAGACAAGCTCTGCGTACGCCTCCCACCAGTCGCTCCGCTTCTCCTCCTTTAGTATCGACACACTAATCTGCTTGACACGATAAGAGAAAGAGGGGGTGTGAGCAGATTGCCAAAGGGTGGGGATGTTAGAGGAAAGGCCAAAGAGAGAAAGGCGGCGACGACTCATCGGGGCGGCGCAAAGGGACGAAGCTTTGGTAACACGATCGGCGGCGAATCTCTGGAAGAGCGGAGCTGCAGATCGATGTCGTGTGCGGGCACGACTGTATCCCCGTGTCGGGCCAGGGCCTCGGATCCCGTGCCGTGATGTTTCGTCGCAGTGTTGTCTTTATCACCCGATTTGCATTTTCTACCCGGCCGTAAGACTCTGATATGTGGGGTGAAGTGTTCCGAATGGCGACGCCGTGTACGACCAGATTCCTTAAAACCTCCCTTCTGAATTCTACCCCATTGTCGGTCAAGATTTCCTCTATGTACTAGTGCATCCCTAGAAACCGGTTGATGTATCGCGCAATTTCAGCTGCTTGTCGTGTACGACACGAATATGCCTCAATCCATTTCGAAAAGTGGTCTACGAATACCTGTAGGATTGAATACTAGCAGCTATTAGGTCCAGGGGGCACCACAATATCAGTAGTATCCATGCTAACCCTCTGAAACGACCGTTCAACTACCGTCGGTACTATYGATGTTGGCGGCTGGATCGACGCCTTGTWAGCAGCGCAGACCTGGCAATTCAYGACGATGAATTTCACATCATCGCGAATAATGGACCAGTACCACTCGTTCTTGTCGATTGCCGCTTCCGTGATCCGTACAGCAAAGTGGGCTGCCGTTTCCTCATGCGCCGTCTTTACCCAGTCATACCTCATGAACGGGTGCGGCACTACCATCCAAATACCGCTACCATCCTTCTTCCGTTTTTCTAATCGGCCCTCGTTCCAACGATAATCCCGAGCCCTTTCATTGACCCTCCTCCGGTCTTCCTTAGTGAAGGCCTGGAGAGGGTTTCCTACCAAGGTGGCAATTAGAGCGATGTCCGTCCATACCTTGGCCCTTCTAAACTCCTGGGTCCTTTTCAACCCTTCTCACGTGGCGTCAAGAAATCGAGCTTCAGTCGGGATCTTATCAGTCCGATACAAGGGACACAACCAAGGCTTGTTCCCATTTCTGTACTGGATGCAGACGTGTCAACCCGTCCGCGTTGCCGTGCCTCTTTCTCTCTCCGTGGATGATGTCGAAATCGTATTTCTGTAGGCGCACCGCCCACCGTCCAATCATACCCGTATAATTGGTGAGCTTTTTGAGAGCCAATAATAGCTCGTGATCGGTTACAAGGAGTAACTTCTGCCCGTACAAATACGGATGGAAGTGTTGAATTCCCCAGACTACAGCATAGCATTCACCTTGCGGGGCTGAATCGTTCCTTCGTTCGTCCGACACCATATGAGACGCGTACTCGATGACGTACTCTCGGCCGTCGTTCCCCACCTGCGCTAGAATAGCGGAAATCACCTCTGGCTGCCAATCCGTGATGAGAATAAACTGCTTCGTAGGGTCCGACCGGATCAAAATACATGTCGTCGCCAGAGCGCCTTTAGGGGTGGCGAAGGCCTGCTCACACTCTACATCCCAACTAAGGGGCTAGTCCTTTCGCAGCAGATTCGTCATAGGTCGCGCAATCGCAGCGAAACCTTTGATAAAACGATGATGGTACGATGCTTGTCCCAGAAAAGCTCGAACCTGCGTCACTGACGTGGGGACAGGAGCATCTTTCACCGCCGCGACTTCCCTTGAATCTGGTCGCAGTCCTCCATGTATCACCACATAACCCAAGAATGAAATTTTCGAGAGAAAAAACTCGTTTTTTTCGAGCGCGATCTAAAACCCAGCGGCTCTCAGAGCTCCTAGCGTCCACTCGATGTGCTGTGCATGCCCGTGATAGGTCTCCGAGTGGACGAGGATGTCGTCCATGTACACGATGACGCAAAAGTTAATCATCCCCTGAGTGAGCCGCGTCTTGTTGACGAATTACTAAAACGTCACGTTCATTGCCTGTTGAAACGTGGCAGGCGCGTTGCAATACCCATCAGACACCGGACCCACTGCCACGTGCTTTCAAGCAACACAAAAACCTTTTTCGGTCGATCTTCCTCCTTAACCATAATGTGATGGAAGCCGTGACGAATATCAAATTTACTAGAATAATTAGCACACCCAATCGCATCCAACAAATCATCAATCTTGGGAAGGGAGTACAAATCTTTGATCGTGATGTGATTTAGTTTGCAATAATCAATGCATATGTGAATCGACCCATTCTTTTTCAGCACCAATACTACTGGGAACGACCATGGCCCAGTGGCGGGTTCGATCCAACCATTGGCTTCCGTTTTTCGTTCTGCCAGGGAGTATCTGAAGGGCTTACAATGAATCGGGGGATGGTTTCCGGTTTGGATCTCGTGTTGTATGACTAACGACATTTCAATGTCTGTGTCCGTCAGACTAATCGCTCCTTTGTCTTCTTTAAAACTTTCTGCGATTAGATAATGGATCTCATTAGGCACATATTGGGGCACGTGCAACTCGTACAGCTAGTCCCATATCCGTACATCGATGTGTTTCGTACTCATCCGCTTGGTGTTTTCGGGCAGGGGCGCGAAAATAAACGAGTTGTCCGATTGCCAGGAGAATACCGTGGCCATCATCTGTGCATCCTGTTTTCGAATGGCCACATGTTTTTCCGGTGTTATTCCGTCTCGAATGTCCTACCAAGGCACTGGTTTCATCGCAATATTAATTCCGAGTCCGGTTTCGAGGCGCTCAGGGGGTTCCAAAGAATTGGTCTCCGCCCATAAGCGTATCAATCGTATCTCTTTTGGAGGCGTCAAAAGAGATCGTGGGAGATTTGTGATGTCGCAATAGTGCCTTTTGTCATTATACCGTGCAAGTAAACGGGAGATACCTCCGTACAGGTTTCGAGGGGGTTCTAAAGAGTCGACCATCCTCGAAATATGTACGAGGGGTTCACCCATAATCATAGTTTGCGCTCTTTGTAAACTCTGAGTAGTCAGGTTTAGCGATCTTGTATTTGCTCGTTGCATAGAGTAATAGGTACGCTGTTGTGCCAGCTCCAGGATCACTGGATCATCCTCGTCGCTGTTGTCCATGTCCTTTGACAGCTCCCCGTCATCTGCGGAATTATCCCAGGTGATCACGTGGAGGGTTTCCACCATTATGAAAGAAACTTACGGAGTTATGTTAGTGGTGGTACGAAGGGTAAATCTCTTCGATACAACATATGGTTTTCCTCCTGTATTTCGGAGGACAATCGATCGTCTCTCGAAATCCAGAATGGCTCTTAGGGCCACATGAGCGGGAAGGCCGAAAAGAACATCGTAAGTGTTAAGGTCTAAGACCACAACATCTCCCAAAGCATGTACCTTTCCTAATCGAAAAACAACATTGTTCATCCGTCCCACCGTTTTAATCTTCTCCTCATCTGCTGAAACAAGTTGGTCTTTTTCCGTAAGCATGATTAGATCGTTCTCCCTCCCTGCTTTTTCAACTACACGTAACGAGATAGCCAAAACAGCGGTTCCTGAATCGATAATGGCATTGTACGGGATTCCCCATATCTCGATGTCGCATTCGGCGGATTTCCATAGGATTGGTTTAATCTGTGGGAAGTGATCATCTTTCAGGATTAATCCTAACCGTATTGGATCTGAAGTTTTTGTTGCATTTTCATCTGGCGTGGGATTTTTCGTTTTTGTGCTCGCTGTTTGGGCAAGGACGAATCATTTTCGATTCGCCTTGCAATGTTGTAGCATCCGTTCATTGGCTTGTTCCGATATCGAAAGTAGATGTCCAATCGGCAGAGGAATCCGATCGTCCAAGGCTCGAACGATATTTAAAATATCGATCTTCCCAGTGACAAAAGTGGGTCCTCCCGACTCCATTTCCCCTGGAGAAGGTCGTCATTCCGCCACTTTTCTTTGTTCTGGCGTGGGTCTAATCGTTCCAATCATCCCAAGCCCCGGGTAGCCATGCGTTACATACTGATCTAACGGGATTAGTTCAGCCGCTTCCTCCGTCGTGGCTAATGTGCTTCCAACCCCTTTTATTTCTTCCATCAATGCCCCTTCTCGTCCAGGTCCGTTGGCGATCGGGGCCGCTGCTACCGACGCGGCTCCGACTCGTTGATGCGGGGGTAGATGAGGGCAATCTCGGGCTATATGCCCTGGTTGACGACACGTGTAACAGACGTTTAAATTGCCCGGGATCCTTGTGGGAGGGGGTGCCGGAGCCAATCCGTGCTGAATCGGGGAGGCACGCACCACTATTGGCCGCATCGACCTTATCATTGCCTCTATTCGAGCGTTGTGTTCCCGCTGTTCTTTTTTGCTTTCCTGAATCAGAGTAACTAATGTCTTGGTAGTTTTAATAAGGCGGTTGATTCATTCGGTCGCACGGGGGTTTCAATCGGTGGTGGGGGTGCTATCATCCCGGACACGGGCATGCTCGTAATCACACTCGGGACCGGTCCTTTGGGACTAATCTGTTCCAGTTATGTGACAGGGCCCAACATAAACCCCATGTTTTCAAATTTATTCTGCAGTGCAGCCAACTCAGCTTTAGCTCTCGCTGGTTCGGACGAGTCTCCTTCCCTAGGATAGTCCTCCCCTTCTAGGAAACTCGCAGCGAACTTTCGTTCCATTTCCTCTGCAGCTGCCATGATCTGTTGCAGCGTGTGATTGATGGGGGAGAATTTATTTCGCAGTTTTGCCCTCATCGTTCAGCTGCGAAGTCCATCCATGAAAAAATCTCTGCCTACCTGCTCGCCTCGTTCTGTTTCACAAACATCCTATAGAATCGGTTTCGATACTCGGTGACAGACTCGAGGTGTTTTTGAACTCTATCTTTGATCATAAAAAGAGCCTGTTCTGGGTGGATGTATTCAAACCGGTTCAAGAAATCTCGCTCGAATGTTGGGAGATCGACCCATACATAGGTACTAAACCAGTGATGGGCATCTCCTCCCAAACGTGCGGGGATATTCACCTGTGCCTCGTTGTCATCATACTGCTGAGCCCGGAGCGTGGCTAGCCATGCTCCAGCGAGGTGATGAGCAGGGTCGAATAGATAAAGATCGGGTGGCGTCATAGGAGTCCGTGCTCATGGTAGGAGTTGATTAGGATTCTGTTGGGGATTCTGTTGATTAACATTCATGTTGACCGTCCGTCGGGGCGGAGACCGGCTTCTAGTGACAACGGGGTAGCGTCGATGCGCGTTCCGCGGTCGAGGTCGTCCCCTGTTAGCCAGATCGCCCAGCTATGAATCCTAGACCCTTGCCCGTGTCGGGCTCTGATACCAACCTCACGCCCAACGCGACTTCCTGATCGGAGTGGGATGTGGGCCTGGAAGTGCGAAAAGGGGTGTGCCAAGGATTTTTGGGAAAGTGCGGGTGGAGTCCCAAGTCGGAACTGAGATCTCCTGTGGTAAAGTTTCGGGGGATGCAATAGGGCTAAGGGGCGAATTACTTCCGGTTTGATAGCGGTCGAGGTCGTGCAGCATAAGGCAAATGGCCTGCGCGGTGCATTGAAGGTCGTCCGATCCGTTTGTTTTGTTGGCCGCGGTTCGGGCAGAGACCCTCTTAAGATGGTTGTGGTTCCGATGAGTCGGACCTTCGGTTGAAGACACATGGCGTCTGTCATCGCGCGTTTTGGTTAGGCCGCCTAATTTTAGGGGCTCGTCAGTTGCCGCGTCACCGACAATTTCCGCAAGGAGTGAGGGGCCAGTATAAGGCGATGGAATTCCACGGAACCATCGTGAGTTAGTGATACGGGAGGAGGAGACGGAAGGGAAGGAAATTGGTAGTGATAACGACGAAGTCGGGGGATATGAAGTATTGCGTGTTGTCCGTAGTGGGAAAATCGGGGCACCTAGGATTGCTGGTAGTGGCACAGTGAAACTCCCTCGGGCACAATCGATTCTCGGTTAGGCAGGGGAATTTCGGGTATCTTTGTTTAATACATTCTCTCATCCAGCGTTGTCGAGCGGGGATCCCCGGGGGCAAAGTCGGTGTTAGGCTGTGGACCCCGGACCCCCGCCGCGGGGGCCATCCAACCCCGCCACCGCCGGACGACCCCCGCCGCCGCCCAGCCCCGGGTACCCCGCCGCC